TTCATTAATGCATTCAGACGTTTCAATGCAAGAAGAGGTCAGGTTCGAGAACTGCGTTCTGACAACGGAACCAATTTTGTAGGTGCTGAACGTGAACTTAGAACTGCCATTGAACATTGGAACCAGGTGAAAATCAATGACGTCTTTCTGCAAAAGGGAATTAAATGGACCTTTAATTCACCTGGAGGTTCACATCACGGAGGAACCTGGGAGCGACTGATAAGACTGGTTCGCAAAGTACTTAATTCCATAATGAAAGTACAAAACCTGGATGAAGAAGGTCTTCATACAGTACTTTGTGAGGTTGAAGCCATCATTAACAGCCACCCAATTACCAAAGCCTCAATGGATCCTAACGACCTGGAAGCTTTGACCCCTAATCATCTTCTTCTGTTAAAGACCTCACCGATATTACCACCAGGATTATTCCATTCCACTGATATGTACACACACAGAAGATGGAAACAAGTCCAATACATGTCTGACTTGTTTTGGAAAAGATGGGTGAAGGAATACCTACTGCAGCAACAGGAACGTCAGCAATGGATTGGAGTAAAAAGGAATCTCATCGTGGGAGATCTGGTTCTCATCATGGACAGTTCGGCACCTCGAAACTTTTGGCCAATGGGACGTGTGATAAAGACTTTTCCGGACCGAAGAGGATTCGTTCATCAAGTTCGGATTAAGACTCAGACTAGTTGCCTGGATCGTCCTATTACCAAACTGTGTCTACTGCTGGAGGCAGATCGCAGTTAAAGACTTCTGGGTCCAATTATCAGACTTTGATTGTATTTGGACATAAAATGTCTCTCATTTTTCTTTAAAGAAAGACTTTGATTACCTATAGGATTCCTGTGGGTAATATTGAAATACAGTAAATGATTGACTTTTCTCTGCATGTTTTATGTCTCCTACTTGGTTAATTATGGGTAATTATTAGAAGGGATCCTAATAATTAGGGGCTGGTGTGTAGGAGCCATAATTAAATGTATTGAATTTTTTGATGATCACTGGGTTTTCATTTGTTTTGGTTGTTATGGTGATGTGTAATGGGAGTCACGTGGGTGCTAGCGGTGACATTAAGAGGGCGTTGTCAGTCTGTCATTCACTGGTTTTGATTTTGACAGAGAGGAGGGCTGGGTAGCCGTAGTTTTTGTTGACCGCTGCACAACATGTTTCGTCTTGTTATATTAGAGTCTGTGACGTTGTAAGAGTCCAAATCGCGAGATGAAATTACTCTGTAAACACTTTAATAAACAAGAAAACAATTCCACCTTTCGCATTATTGCGTAAACTTGACAGCGCGTCAGGCAAATAGGCGGGCTCCATCCCCGGCTTCTAGTGACTGTGGAAGTCGCTACAAACATTATCCGATAATGCTAACTCTTTTCCCCTGCATTATAACAATGTCAGTAGTTAATGCTAAGTAGGCTGCCATTAAGGGCTAACTAATTAGGGGTGAATAATTAGTAGCAGCTAATGCTAATATAGTGTTCTCTTTCCTTATAACAATGTGAGCAGCTAATGCCGCATTCTTCGGAGGCCGCCAGCTGGAAGCCGACCGGGAGGTCGAGGCACGATGTGCTGGGAAAGCGGTGTTCCTCCCGGCTGTAGTAGGTCTCGACCTCCCGTTAGCTTCGAGATAGTGGGTGTCAGATCTCCGAAAACGTCGGAGCACTTTTGCAAATATGTGATGTCTTGTAAACCGAGCAGGTATCTGACGTTTACACAATTACATTCACGCCTCAAAATATCTTAAAAGTGTATTTTGTGACCCAGAAAGAGTAATATTACAACTAAGTAGCTGCCGCCATTGTTGGAATTCAACTTTTGCGAGATCCCGAGTTTGTTTTGCGAGATCTCGCAAAAGTCCGTCTTAATTTTTTTTCCCTCCCATGTCCCCTGTGGGGCTCCGTAATTTCATTCTCATTCTGTTTTTTAGGAACAAATTTTTTGTGAATTCAGCTGTGAATGTAGAGTTTGTCAGTATTTAAGCTTCCATTTCCAAATGTTAGCTGCTCCTGTCTGCCTCTTTGTAACACACACAGACTGAAATGATGCACAGCCTTGTTTCATTTTTCTGTCAGTGTCACTGACTGTCACTGTGACTGTGAACATACAGCATGGGAAACATACACATGGCTGACACTTTAATAGGTACACTATCTCAGGTGCAGTACACCTGTGACCTAATAAAGTGTTTCTAAAGTTACAAAATGTTGTCTCTGTCCAAATATTTATGGACCTAACTGTAGGTCTACTTTTAATGAAACTCTTAACATGACTTATCAGTTATCATTAATGTCCCAGCAAACAGACTCCTCGGAGACCCCCTATATAAATATCTATGTACTATCCAGCTAGACTAGTGTGTCTGTCCCTGAAAATATTCCTGCATGTGTGATTGTTCATGTCTCATCTGCAGGAAAGAAACAGGAAGTGAGTGAAGGACACAGCAAATGATTCCAGCTCTTCCTCCTCTATCAGACATTTTCTCCATACCTGAGAGTGTCCAGTCTCCAGCCTGGATCCTTCAGTCCAGCCGACAGCAGCTTCATTCCTGAGTCACCTGGATGATTGTAGCTCAGGTCCAGCTCTCTCAGATAGGAGGGGTTGGAGCTCAGAGCTGAGGCCAGAGAACTACAGCCTTCCTCTGTGATCAGACAGCATGACAGACTGCAGACACACAAAACAACAATCCATCTGTGAACTCTACTCTGTACAATTTTTTTCTTTTTGTTTCTTCTTTCAGAGAGATTTAACACCCAGATCATCAGTGCTTTGTGACACTGGAGAGGAAGAAGTCTTTCAATAGCAAAGGACCTGAAGCAGGACCAGGTTGAGGGAGGAAAAGTCATCCAAAGTTTTCTTCTTTTAAAAACTCTAAGCACCACAAGTAAATCTGCACTCTGGGTCTGGCATTAGGATATGTGCTATATGAGGGAATGTGGTTGTATAAGACTATATGTTGGAAGAAGGACTTTAGATTGATTTTCTGGAATTCCCAGGGAGCTGATGGAGAGAAAAAAAGAGATAATTTATGTTTCTCTTCCCTCTCAGTGCTGTTTCTGAGTGAGTCATTTGAATGCCTTTAAGGGAGCTTTCAGAACAAACTCATAATGAATTACAGTAGTGTAGCCTCTAACTACCAAATGCATGACACAGTTTTATGAAATAACTCAGATGTGATGTTACTAATTTTAGTAAACAACATAGACTGTTCTTTACTATGCACAATAAATGACACATCTTAATCAAACATGACTTCTCGGTGTATTCATAATCATTCAATATTCCACAAGAAACAATATTTAAATGTTAGTTGTTTATGCAGTAATATTCAAATTTTAAATGATCATCATTAAAATAAAATCCTGACCTGAGATTTTCCAGTGCACAATACAGACTCTTTAGTCCAACAGACAAAAGCTTCACTCCTGTGTCCTTAACTTCATTCTTACTCAGGTCCAGCTCTCTCAGACTACAGGACTGACAGCTGAGAACTGAGGACAAAGCTTCACAGCTTCTCTCCGAGAGATCACAGTCACTCAGTCTGAAAAATTAGAAACACATAACAATGAGCCAGTTGTTAAAGTGTATTCATGAAGCACTGAGGGCTATTGAGCAATATTTATTCATGTTTATGGTGAGGTTTTCTCAGTAGACAAGAGGGTTTGTTCCCTACACCTGCGAATGACATTTTGGAGTACGCGGCCTTCTTGGACGGTGTTCCACCTGGGGACTCTGTCATCCTACTTGGAGACTTCAATGCTCATGTCGGCAACTACATGAGACCTGGAGGGGTGTGATTGGGAGGAACGGCCTGCCACATCTGAACCCGAGTGATATTCTGTTACTGGACACCTCTGAGAATCGCAGTTTGTCTATAACAAACACCACGTTTGAACATAATGATGTCCATAAGCGCACATGACCCCCAGGCCACAAGTCAGTGATTGGCTTTGTAATCATATCATCAGATCTGCAACTGTATTTTCAGAGATTAAGTCTGAATGGACCATGCTCAGGACCTCCATTTAAGTTAGCTGGGTGGTGACTTCCACCAGAAGTAGTCTTCCTCTCAGGCTTGGTTAGCCTGTGGGACTTTGGAGGCAGCCGATTTGTCCTGTGCAATGCGGCTCGGGCGGTGATTGAATCAAAAACAATGATGCCATGGAGAAAGACTTGGAATGCCTCAAAGAGGTTCTTTTAAATCATCAGGGGACTCAGTTGGGAAAGGCAGTGGCTCCACCTCCACTGTGTATAATGCGAACAGAGTGCAACCAACATCAACTGACGATATTGCTGGGCAGTGCAAGGAATACTTTAAGGACCTCCTTAATATTTCTGGCACATTTTCCATAGAGCAAGCAGAGTCTGGGGGGCGGGGGGTGTAACTGGTCCATCACCTGGGGTGTGGTTACTGAGGCAGTTAAGAAACCTCTTGGTGGCAGGCCCCTGGAATGTATAAGAATCACATTGAGTTCCTAAAGGCTCTGGAAGTTGTCTTGGTCTCTACAATTTCGCGTGGAGACCAGGGGCTGTACCTTTAGAATAGCAGACCGGGTTAGTGGTTTCCATCTTTAAGAAGCGGGACCGGAGGGTGTGCTCTAAGTGTAGGGGATCACACTCCTCAGCCTCTTTTGGGAAAGTCTATGTCAAGGTGCCTGAAAGGACAGTCTGCTCGTTAGTTAAACCTTGGTTACAGGAGGAAGAATGCATTTTGCGGAACACTGGACTTGCATTTTACACTCTTGAAGACACTTGAGGGTGCATGAGAATTTGAGTAACCAGTCTAGATGTGTTTTGTAAACTTGGAGAAGGCATTCGACTGTGTCCCTTGGAGTATTGTGTGAGAGATGCTGTGGGAGAATGGGGTGTTTGGCCCATTTGATCCTTATAGCCAGCAATAAGGTGGACTCGTTCCCGGTGGGTGTTGATTTCTATCAGCAACCCCTGCCCCAATGAGGATAAGCAGGAGAGAATTGATGGATGGGTGCTAAATCAACTGTAGTTATTTCAAAGCATTACCAAAGTATGGCCATTTAATGTGATTTATAAATATTTTTTTATAGTGCTACACGAAAAAGAATGAAGTTGAACTTAATTGTGTAAAATACTCAATTTGCTAATTTTGTCATTACACAAAAAAAGGAAGTCACTTGATCCAACCTGAGAGTTTCCAGTTTACAATATGGACTCTCCGCTGCAACAGACAGCTTCTTTATTCCCGAATCCTGCAAGCCATTGGTACTCAGGTCCAGCTCTTTCAGAAGAGAGGACTGGAAGCTGATAATGGAGGATAGAGCTTCACAACTTCTCTGTGAGAGGTTACAGCCATTCAGTCTGAAAAAAAAAAAGAATACATGGCACATACGTGCATTCATGACGCAATGACAACTTACATTATGAAGCTTTGGAACAGACTTTGATCCCTTCTGTTAAATATGTATAACAATTTAAAAGAACATTTATAGGTAAAAGGTTTATTTTTTTCAACACACACACACACACACACAAAAAGAAAGGCAATTGATCTGACCTTAGAGTTTCCAGTTTAAAATGTAGACTCTTCAACCCAGCAGACAAACGCTTCACTCCGGAATCCTTCAGCTTGTTATTACTCAGGTCCAGCTCTCTCAGACTAGAGGACTGGGAGCTGAGAACTGAAGACAGAGGTTCACAGCTTCTCTCGGAGAGGTTACAGAAACTGAGTCTGAAAAATATATTTGTGATAAATAGTTTTATCGCGACGTCACTCCGGCTCTATTTCACTCTTCTGTACCACCTTTAGAAGTCTGTCTAGCAACAAGCATGTGACTTGTCACTTTTCTTTCAAAAGAGATGTTTAATGAAACTTATAATTAACATAGCCAGACTCTGTCAAAAAACAGTGTTGACTCCAGCTTATACTATCAGTACCAATGAACTAGCATTTAAATGGCTCTTACAATTAGTATGATTGTAAGGAGCCGGCTCGCATCGTTCACGTCAAAGAGTCGGCTCTAAGAGCCATTTCGTTCGCGAACGACCCATCACTATTCTGTACCACCTTTAGAAGTCTGTCCAGCAACAAGCATGTGACTTGTCACTTTTCTTTCAAAAGAGATGTTTAATGAAACTTAAAATTAACATAGCCAGACTCTGTCAAAAAACAGTGTTGACTCCAGCTTATACCCCCCCCCCCCCCCCCCCCAACCACACAAGCACATAATTACAGTGTGCCAGATGCCCAAAACACCAAAAAGTGCATTAGAATTTCACATTTCTATATTCTATGCCTTTAATATAACAGCATTTTTGAATTTACATGAAATATTTTTTACTACAACAAAAAATTATATTTATCCTTTTAACCATTTTATCAGTACCAATGATCTAGCATTTAGATGGCTCTTACAATTAGTATGATTGTAAAAAGCCTGCTACAATATATGAAAATACAGTATATAAAGCATAACAGAGGTTGTGAATTTCAAACCAACTTGAAAGCCAACTGTATGACTCCATTTATTCTTTAATATACGTATTATTTAATACGTTTGACAATTCCCAACACCACAGGCTTACATGCAGCTTCAAACCATGAGATGTTTTACAAATAGCTATAGAAACTCTTTGCTGGATCTCTGACTTTGGATTCATCACTCCATCAGACCTGTTGCCAATAATTATCAGTACAGTTCTTGTGTAATATAAATGCATCCCTGAATGTCAGGTCTTAAGTGGAAATTGTTCTATTTCTTAAGAACATGGTTTTCAAATACTGTTAATTTTCTAGTTTTTATGACTGCCACTTCATCTTTTGTCCTGCATTTGTTTTCACCAAAACTAAAGCTAAAATTTTTGACCACAGGTACAAACTAAAGGTAATTAATGCTGATGTATGCTGTCATAGATGCTTATTTTTATATTTGTTTATATTCATTTTGTAGTAGTTGATAATTGTCAGCTACTGGTCGACCATAAGCTGTGTCTGGGTGCTTTAATAAGGGTTATAACTGCAGTTGCAGATCTGATGAATCTTCCAGAAATACTGAAATTGTAGTCCTTTTTCCATTAGTACCTTCTTGGACTGGCTCAACGTGGCAAGACTCCTTTTCCATTATAATCAAATTCCACCTAATGTGAGGTTGTCATAGCAATGCAGCTGAATGTCTCAAGACCTAATAAAATAATAATAATAATAATAATAATAATAATAATAATAATAATGTGTATGTGTTTCACTGTAGGGAAATATCGAGATAGTATATGGGTAAAAGGCGCATGCGCAGTGCTTTTGTTTTCATACACACATGACGGAAAAAGCATGGTGGGGAGAATGAGAAGGGCAAAAGCGGATCGTTGAATGAAACGGATGAACCAGAATTTGTTTGTAAAAATGCTGCAACTTCAGTGGTGTGGAAGTGGTTTAGCTTTCGTCAGATACACAACAAAGTACTATTTTTGGTAGAGCATGCTAGCGGGCCGTCGTTATTACCGTGTTTTTTGGAAAATACGGCACACTTAAAATCAATCCTTTGATTTTTCTGAAAATCGACAGTGCCCCTTATAATCCTGTGTGCCTTATGTGTGAATTCTGGTTGTGTTTACTGACCTCGAAAAGATTTTATGTGGTACACGGTGCTCAAAAATCTGTCAAATGTTTTAGAACGACTTTGCTAAGCTACGAACCCGCACCGCTTGATGGATTGTTGGAGCATTACGGCTATCGTAGGCAGCTCGCGGAGTGATAC